AATATTATTATTATTGTTTAAAGAAATGTGGAAATTTTTTTTAATAACTAATTTATGAAACATTTTATTTTTAAATCGTTTTTATTTATATTTTTTCTTTGGAATAATTTAATAATTGCTTTAATTTAATAATTGCTTTAATTTAATAATTGCTTTAATTTAATAATAAGATTTCTTGATATTTTCAAAAGATCTTTATTTTTATAGAATTATGTATTTTAATTAAATAACGAGATTAAGAATTCTTTGTTGTATTATAGTTAATTTTACTTACCTAATTATAAATTAATTGCCTTTATTTTAAATTTAGAAAGTACTTAAGTTTTCTTGAAGACTAATAAAATATAATTTATTAACAATTGTAATATTGAATATAATTTTCTAATATGAATTTCATATTTAATTAATTTTTTAAATTATATAACGTAAAAGTTTTTCTGAATTCACGTTCATACTTTTAGAAATGATAAGACTTCTTACAAAGTTTCAAATATTACGGAAGTTTAGAAAAATTATTCCAATTTTTATTTTATAATTAATGGTATTTTATTTATATTAAAAACAGTAATATTTTAAAAAGTAATATTTTTTTGGAAACGTTTAATATATAAAAAAAGCAGGCTTCGCACTGACGTACTAAAATCTATACTATTTACTCCTTTTTTTGTCAAATTTCTGACACTAAAAGCTACTTTTTTACAAATTACATTAGTTTCAATCCTCTAATGATTGAAAAAAAAATTATTCTCAATCAATTTTTTGTGATTCGAAAATGAAAATTTATAATTGTTATTGAAAATTCTTTTAAACAATTGTAAATTGAAGAATGTTCGCAATATTTTTAAAAGATTAAATTACCATGTATTGATGCGCAAAACTCCAAGGATTAATTTAAAAAAAAAGACAAATCAGTAATCACCAATATTATAGAAATTGTGTAGAATTTTCTGCCAAAATGCAGCCGAAAATCGACTTTTAATCTTAAAAATCCGCTTGAAAGCGTGAAGTTTCTAACAAAACAAGAGAAGATCTTATTTATATATTTATTTGCAATTTTATTTTTCCTGGAACTCGAGTCGATTTTCGTCTGCATTTTGGCATTAAAATAATTTTTTTGCCAATAAATTTATATTCTTAATTTTATTACAATTTTTATACTCACTTTTTAATTTTTCTATAGTTATTAATATAATCTTTCTACAATTTTTCTATAATTTTTCTATAGAATAATGCAATTTGTAATTGTTTTTGTTTATTATTTTTGAGAGATAGGATAGATATTAATTTCGCAGTAATAGAGGGGTAAATAATATTCAATACCATTGTCAAATAACACAAGCACACAAAAAAATAAAAAAGTCAAAACCCAGAGGTTACACCCCCCCATCTCCATGTTTTTGGGGTCGCTGAAACCGAATATGACCATGAAAATTTTTTTCGTCGGCCATTTTCCCGCTACCACCCCCTTACACCTGCTCCCTGGGGTTGGAATTTCAATTTTAAAAAAGTGGACAAGGGTGTCTATTCCTATGTTTTTTGGGTCGCTAACACCAAAAAAGACTACCAAAAACAAATTCTTCCCTCCCTTAACCCCTTACAACCCCCTTAACAACCCCAGGGTGAGGGTTCGAAATTCGAATTTTCGCGAAAAGTCGATTGCGGTGTCTAAACCTACGTTTTTTATTCGCTGAAACCAAAAAAGACTACAAAAATCAAATCCTTTCCACCCTCAACCCCCTACAACCCCCTTCAATAATTTTTGATAATTAATATTTAATTTTCAATTTCCCAAAAATCGGTCCGTTTTATTTAAAAAAAATTATTGCAGGGGGTAGTAGGGGGTTGAGGGTGTAAAGGATTTGATTTTGGTAGTCTTTTTTGGTTTCAGCGACCCAAAAAAAATAGGAATAGACACCCTTGTCCACTTTTTTAAAATTGAAATTCCAACCCCAGGGAGCAGGTGTAAGGGGGTGGTAGCGGGAAAATGGCCGACGAAAAAAATTTTTCATGGTCATATTCGGTTTCAGCGACCCCAAAAACATGGGGATGGGGGGGTGTAACCTCTGGGTTTTGACTTTTTTATTTTTTTGTGTGCTTGTGTTATTTGACAATGGTATTAAATATTATTTACCCCTCTATTACTGCGAAATTAATATCTATCCTATCTCTCAAAAATAATAAACAAAAACAATTACAAATTGCATTATTCTATAGAAAAATTATAGAAAAATTGTAGAAAGATTATATTAATAACTATAGAAAAATTAAAAAGTGAGTATAAAAATTGTAATAAAATTAAGAATATAAATTTATTGGCAAAAAAATTATTTTAATGACAAAATGCAGACGAAAATCGACTCGAGTTCCAGGAAAAATAAAATTGCAAATGAATATATAAATAAGATCTTCTCTTGTTTTATTAGAAACTTCACGCTTTCAAGCGGATTTTTAAGATTAAAAGTCGATTTTCGGCTGCATTTTGGCAGAAAATTCTACACAATTTCTATAATATTGGTGATTACTGATTTGTCTTTTTTTAAATTAATCCTTGGAGTTTTGCGCATCAATACATGGTAATTTAATCTTTTAAAAATATTGCGAACATTCTTCAATTTACAATTGTTTAAAAGAATTTTTAATAACAATTATAAATTTTCATTTTCGAATCACAAAAAATTGATTGAGAATAATTTTTTTTTCAATCATTAGAGGATTGAAACTAATGTAATTTGTAAAAAAGTAGCTTTTAGTAGTGTCAGAAATTTGACAAAAAAAGGAGTAAATAGTATAGATTTTAGTACGTCAGTGCGAAGCCTGCTTTTTTTATATATTAAACGTTTCCAAAAAAATATTACTTTTTAAAATATTACTGTTTTTAATATAAAAAAAATACCATTAATTATAAAATAAAAATTGGAATAATTTTTCTAAACTTCCGTAATATTTGAAACTTTGTAAGAAGTCTTATCATTTCTAAAAGTATGAACGTGAATTCAGAAAAACTTTTACGTTATATAATTTAAAAAATTAATTAAATATGAAATTCATATTAGAAAATTATATTCAATATTACAATTGTTAATAAATTATATTTTATTAGTCTTCAAGAAAACTTAAGTACTTTCTAAATTTAAAATAAAGGCAATTAATTTATAATTAGGTAAGTAAAATTAACTATAATACAACAAAGAATTCTTAATCTCGTTATTTAATTAAAATACATAATTCTATAAAAATAAAGATCTTTTGAAAATATCAAGAAATCTTATTATTAAATTAAAGCAATTATTAAATTATTCCAAAGAAAAAATATAAATAAAAACGATTTAAAAATAAAATGTTTCATAAATTAGTTATTAAAAAAAATTTCCACATTTCTTTAAACAATAATAATAATATTTATTATTATTATTATTATTAATATAAAATAAAAACAGCAACTTACTTAAAAAATGTTATTCGCAATTGATATAGAACAATTAATTAATTTCCATTTAATTAACCATTCACTTAAATTTATTTTCACTATACGGAGCGAAATTGACAATAAATTGAATTCACTTGACAAATTTCTACACCAAAAACACCTAGCTCCATCTCTCGAACAAACTTATCACTTTCCTCAAATATGGCAAATGTGGGGCTTTTGTCCAGTGGCGCAATTGATCCGTGGCGCATTTGACCGGTGGCGCATTTGTCCAGTGGCGCATTTGAGAACTTACCACCATGGGGTGTGTTCCACTGTTTCAAAACGTTGAAAACAGACTTGAGGTTTAGCTGGCCCCTCTGTTATACCAGGTGGCGCATAGAAGCTTCCGTACACTGTAAAAAAATCTGGTGTAAAATAACACGAAACTTGTAATTTCACACATCAAAATTATAGGTTGTACGTAGTAAATTTATTTCGTTCCAAAAGTAGTTTTACTATTTTTAATAATTTTACATTATACGACTATGTAATTTAATAGTTTTGTGTAAATTTACTACGTCCGACGTAGGAAAATTTGATCACTATGTCCGACGTGGTATTTTTACATTGCGTGTATTTCTACACTTTGACGTAATATTACGTCGCACGATCTGTACAATTACATGGCGAATGTAATTTTCTTATTCCTTTAAAATTTTCAAAAAATTTTCAAGTTTTTATAAATAACTCTAAAAAAGTGTATATAATGTACATTTATAGAAAGTATAATATGCTAATTTATAAGTAAATAATAATATTACAAAAAGTTTTGGGCAATATTTCATAAATACAAAAAGTTACGACTGAAAATATTATTTCAAAAAATATTTGCAGGTTATGTAGATTACAGTCGGCGTGTAAAAATACCACGTCGGACATAGTCGTCGGTCGTACCGGTCAGTTGCCACATAAAGGTGCTCAAACTGTTTATTTGAGACTATTTAGTTTAACCTAAATAGTCTCAAATAAGCACCTTTTTGTGGCAACTGACCGGTACGACCGACGACGTCGAAAACACCCATGGTAACACGTAAGAGTTAGGCTGCAGTCCCATGGCAGCGTTTTACGTTGCGTTGTAATGAGAGAGAATACAGCAAACGTATATTTGCGTCTTTTTCTCTCCCATTACGACGCAACGCAAAACGCTGTCATGGGACTCCACCCTAAAGGTACCGTCCCATATCGGCTGAAAACAGATATTACGTTCTCACTCACTCACATGGTTTACGCTTTACGCCGACGCTTTCACGCCATCATGGGACGGTACCTTTACATTCGCGAAAGATGTTCGCGAAGCAGTTGTGCGTTGGCCTTTAACCGATTGTCAGTATGCTAAGGCCTTATGAGTTTTACGAAGATATATTGTGATTCGGCCTATATTTGAAGGAAAATATAGAACAATTTAGAAAAGTGCTCAAGGCCAACGCAGAATAGATCTGTAACCGGAACCGCAATCGTAAGCGTAACCGTAAGAATGAGTTAAAGAAGGATAGGTATATTGTTTATCCTTCTCTAACTCATTCTTCCGCTTACGGTTACGATTGCGGTTCCGGTTACAGATCTATTCTGCGTTGGCCTGTAGCGTTTTGTGTTGCGTTTTTTAACTAGGCCATGAGTGCAAATATAGCCAACATATATCTCAATTTCTCTCACACTCATGGCATAGTTACAAAACGCAACGCAAAACGCTGTCATGGGACGCCAGCCTCACTCTTGGACATAACCAACCAACTAGTTAAATAAATAAATAGTTGAAAGTGAAATAAGTGAAATTCTTTATATAACAAATGCAACAGTCTGATTCTTTTGTAAGTATCATCATATTACAATCACATTATACTAAAAGTTCTACGTAAATAGTATTGATATTATTTTCTGAAGAAATACTATGATTAAAGGGAAGAAATTCTCGAGAAAATATGAATTATTGATACTTTGGTGTTTTCAGGTAAACATTTTGAATTAAGTCGTACGTAATAGAATCTGTAGTGACAAGTTTATTTTAATCGAGATTTAAACAGTTAAACTATGTCAAACATCGACTGTCGAGGTGTGAAACGGGGAAGATGCTCCTGCGAGCATTGCACAGAATTTTTGTCAACTTCTTTAAAAATTGAATGCGCTTATTGTGGCTGTATACCCGTGAAGCATTCAGTATTAAGTATATATTTTGTAACAATATTTATTTACATCTTTCTAAATTATCTTTTTAAACATGTTTAAAATGTTTTTGACATAGATTAAGAGAACTTGGTTTTACACTTTGATGGCGTAAATCAAAATGGTCAAAATATTCAATCTGGAAATAATCGTGATTTTCAGCCAGAAAATAATCTATTTGTTAATCCCGAACACGAAACTTCTGAAGCTATTGATGACGAAAATGAAAATCGTGAAGATTTTGATGCCGAAAATGAAAATCATGAAGATTTTGATGCCGAAAATGAAAATGATGAAGAGATGAACCGCAATCAATATGATAATCTGCCGGAGGAAGATTTAATCGAAATGGTATAATTATTAATTTTATATGAAGTACAAAAATTTTAATGCTTTTAAATGTTTACTATATTTATTTATGATAAACAATTATTTATTTCTGTTAAATTTATGTCAACATTCTTAAAACAGGTTAAGATGCAGGATTTAATACCGTCTACTTTTAATGAACACTTTCATTCGGACATCACAACTGAACTATTTAAGGAGAAAGAGTTGAAGAAAAATGATTTCTGTAAAATAGTCAGGTTAATTGCAAACAAATTAGTGGAGGCTGGCAAAACCAATCCAACATACATATTGTTAGCTTCAATTGTCGCTACACAAAGATTTCCTGGACTTAGAGGGAATAACACAGAAGTGATTCATGTTTGTATACCAAAATATCTATCTTGTTGTTAGCTGATCATATTATGTACCCAAACGCATTCATGCTGTCCTTCTGGTCTGGCGGAATTTTAAAAGCAGTCATTTCTGTCAAAATGTTATTAGTTCATAACATATGAATGAAAATTTGCACGTCACGAGTTAAGAATATTTGATAGAAATGATACTAATTTCCCAAATTCCGTCAATCCGGAAGAACAGCACTTATGTTTTTGAGTATATAAATTTTAATTTTTGTGTAGTGTGTAAAAGGTAAAAGTGCTGTAAAAACGATGCAATTATTACATTGATCTTTAATGTAAAAATTGCAAAGACTTTAATCTTTTTTTATATTTTGGTAAAGTTATTTCTGGGTACAATTGAAATGACAGTATTATTTTTCTAACCGTTATAAGTATAAACATAACATGTTTATATTACAATTTTAGAGAAGAATGCAGATTCGTCTAGCACAGTGTTTAAAAAATAAGGTACAGAGAGCAAAAGAAGTTTGTTCTAAAGAAAGTGAGAAGGAATATTGTGCCATTTCCGAAAACGAATTATTAGAAACAAATGTACAATTGCTGTTAGAGGAATCACAAAAGTCGAAAGTGGATATAAATAGAGTAAAAAATCTTCTGACTGCAACAAGAAGCGAAAGACAAAAAGATGCAAAATCGCTTCCAGCAGAAAAACTGCTTGAAAAATACCCTATTTTGCAGGATACTAACTTTGTAAGTATATAGGCCAAATTTTGGCCACATAACTTTTCATCCTTTTTTTATAGTTGTTCTTTTAATTAGTTGTTTATTACTCTACTTTATAATAATATTTTCATATTTTTTAGTTTAGATTATTACTTCGGTGTAAAGATATTTCTTATAACAACAGTTTTAGTTGCTTAAAAAATGACGAACATTACTTTAAATTTGTTTATTTAATATTTACTATAGTTATGATTTGTTAAAATTATTACAGTTTTCGAAAGTTTCGAATGAATACGTTAAAATTATGAAGTATCAATTAAGAAAAGCATTTAGACAAAACAAATTTTTTATAATGCAAAATATAAATTGTAATTTAAATATACTCATCCCAATAGATCCGATTTTGTAAATAAATTCACTATCATTTTTAATTTAAACTTTAAAGATTAAATTGTTAATTAAAAAGTAAATTTATTCCTATTATAAAAGATATCCTTTTTTATTATATTCAATACCTACTTATATTTGGTATTTCATACTATAGTGATTCTTTTTATTTTGTGCAGCTTCTATGGGAATTTGGGGAATTGGTAGGAATGTCTACCAACTCTATGAAAAAAAACTTAGCAATAGGTATACCAAAATTAGTGTCAATATTACCGGATGAGGACGTTACAGAAAGAGTTGATCTTTTTTTACTAGAAAAGGTGGATTCATTTTTTCCAAACAAAAATACAAAAAAAGGTTCTCAGGCAAGACGCAAACTTGTCACAGTTTTGGAGGTAATTATTTTAAAGTATTAATATTATTCATGAGATGCTGAACGGCACTACACTGTTATGAGCATATACGTTTAATTTAAAGGAAAATTTTTCTGAATAATCTTAAAAAGTTTTCAGTGGATTTGAGAAATAAGGTTAGATATTTTTAAATATATTTTCTAAACGTAGTTTCCCTACTAAAAATAAAATCAGGAATGGTCAGACAAATGGTCAGGCCGCCTGACCACTTTAATCCAGTTTTCTTACGATTCTGAATGGATCTCGTCAGAAATCTATCACAACTGATCAGGAGGAAGTTTAAAGTGGTCACAAGTTTGCTACTATCCCCTCCTCTTTGTTGACCCCGCCCATAATTGGTGACTATTTGAGACCATTTGTATCTCATTTTTGACCATATTTTTAAGCCACTTCTGTTTTATTTATTTAAACAATATCCAAAAAGTTGCAACAAATTAATTTTAAAAAATATATTTTATTAATTAATATCAGTTTGTTTACATACGGAACAACTTAAAACTAATTCCCGGAGTTAAATTAAAATTTGGACCCTACGGGGATCGAACCCCGACGCATGATCTAACCTAGTGCCTAAACTAACTGCCCTAACGACTGCGACTACCGAACCGACTTACATATTTCTGGATTCAACTGTCTATATATGAGCGGATGGGAAGAAGAACTCGATGTGACGCTCCGCTGCACGCTGTATTGTCAGTCAAGAGTTCCAAATGCCAATAAAATTAAAGTTTGAAATTTTAAATTTTAAAAAGTGCTACATTATAGAAAATAAAGAGGCGCATCTTTTTTTCCTTTGAATTTTTTTTTATAGGACAATTAGTTTAAATAGTAAGTGCAAAAAACTAAAAAAAATTTATTTTTATTTTTCATTCAATTTTAAAACATAAATCATCGTAGTTAAGACAAATATTGATAAAATTAATCGGTATTTGATATACAAACTCGTTAGAGTCTATAGAAGACGATAACATATCAAAAAACTTAAAAATTATTAATTGTTTAATAATATTTAATTATTATTAATGATCTACCAGCAATCACATTTTCTTACCTTCGCCGACAAAAAGTCAGTGGGGAAGTTTCGAATTAAAAGAACTTCCAGTGAGAGAGACATTCGTTCTTCAATGTATAAAGATGTTTTCTGAAAAATTTCAAATTGATTAATTGAAAAGTTTAGAAAATATCGAAGTTTAAACAAATTGCGCGTGGCGCGCTAGCGAGTCGCCGTGTATAGAGAATTATATTCTGTGTATAAATGATCTGCTTCTCATAACTTTTACATATACATTTATTTACTATCGCAAATAAATTGTTTTCAATTATATTAAACTTTTATAATAATAAATAATAAAATTATTTAAACATTTTTTAAATGTAATATGAGGCATTTTACGTGAAATGTCCTAAGTTGAAATTTCAACTTCTTGAAAAAAATTGAAACTCGAGGAATTTGTTGCTCTATCAAGTAGAAATGTGACCCAAAAAATATTTTTGATTTTTTCGAAAAATTGGAGGGGGTAGAGGGGGGTCAATTTGACCAATTTTGCCAACATCGGCTACTTTGTGAATTTTTTCTGAACATACTTGTAATGGGAAAAATTTTTTAGAATATGTTTCTGAAAGGTTTTTTCGTCCTCTTTCCAATGGTGTATTTTATTTTTTAATATTTTAAAAATTTACCCTAATTTTTGATGATTTATATTTAATTTTCAATTTCCCAAAAATCGGTCCGTTTTTTTTAAATAAATTATTGCAAACGAAAGCTGAGGTTTTTTCCTATCGGCATGTAAATTTTCAGAATGCCCTTTTTTTTTTGTTTTTGAGTTATTGAATTTCAAAGAATAATTGCGGCGCGCTGCGTCGCGGTTGCACTGAGCCGCGTGGCAACCCATGGCAACCGGCGTGAGACGAGGCGCCCGGGACGCTGCGCGCCGCAATTTATTCTTTGAAATTCAATAACTCAAAAACAAAAAAAAAGGGCATTCTGAAAATTTACATGCCGATAGGAAAAAACCTCAGCTTTCGTTTGCAATAATTTATTTAAAAAAAACGGACCGATTTTTGGGAAATTGAAAATTAAATATAAATCATCAAAAATTAGGGTAAATTTTTAAAATATTAAAAAATAAAATACACCATTGGAAAGAGGACGAAAAAACCTTTCAGAAACATATTCTAAAAAATTTTTCCCATTACAAGTATGTTCAGAAAAAATTCACAAAGTATCCGATGTTGGCAAAATTGGTCAAATTGACCCCCCTCTACCCCCTCCAATTTTTCGAAAAAATTAAAAAATATTTTTTGGGTCACATTTCTACTTGATAGAGCAACAAATTCCTCGAGTTTCAATTTTTTTCAAGAAGTTGAAATTTCAACTTAGGACATTTCACGTAAAATGCCTCATATATAATATTGAAACCTTATATTAAATTATTATAATTAAACACATTTTAATATGTGAAAATAAAAATAAATAAAATATTTTTTAAATACTAATAAATGTTAATAAATAACTCAAACTAATGTTAAGGCATTTTAATAACATATTTAATGAAATAATAGATACATAAAAATATTTTTAAATAACAAATTAATAAGAAAAATATTTATTCATATAGGTAATATAAATAATATTTTATTCTATTCATTTAGTAATAATTTATTAATTTAAACATTAAATCAATTTTAATTTATCAATATAAATAAATTGAAAACAATTTATTTGCGATAGTAAATAAATGTATATGAGGCATTCCATTTCAAAACGACCCCCTTCGTAAACAATTGCCAATGTAAGACAATTTTTAAATGAATATTTCTTCCATTCTGTAGAACCAAATTACTTTTTATATTAGTGATTACGAAAGTAGAATTTCTGAACTTTCTGATAAGAAAAAAATATATTTTTTTAATAATTTAATTTAAATAGAAAATTGAGTTTAAAAGTTAAGCTTTGAAAAATCTCAAAACACGTTACCTCCGATTTTAATAAAATTCATATTAAACGAAAACTTGAATATTCTTCTTTTTATTTATCAAACGATAATAATGGACATTTCAGTGGATTTTAAAAAAATAATTAAATTTTACAGACATTTAGAAGGTTATTATGCATAAATTGGGAAAAACAAATGCCGCCCTATACTTAATAAATGGTTTTCTCAATATAACCTTCGAAATGTTTGTGAAATTGTATTATTTTCTCAAAATCCACTGAAATGTCCATTATTATCGTTTGATAAAAAAAAGAAGAATATTCAAGCTTTTGTTTAATATGAATTTTATTAAAATCGGAGGTAACGTGTTTTGAGATTTTTCAAAGTTTAACTTTTAAACTCAATTTTCTATTTAAATTAAATTATCAAAAAAATATATTTTTTTATTATCAGAAAGTTCAGAAATTCTACTTTCGAAATCACTAATATAAAAAGTAATTTGGTTCTACAGAATGGAAGAAATATTCATTTAAAAATTGTCTTACATTGGCAATTGTTTACGCAGGGGGTCGTTTTGAAATGGAACGCCTCATATGTAAAAGTTATGAGAAGCAGATCATTTATACACAGAATATAATTCTCTATACACGGCGACTCGCTAGCGCGCCACGCGCAATTTGTTTAAACTTCGATATTTTCTAAACTTTTCAATTAATCAATTTGAAATTTTTCAGAAAACATCTTTATACATTGAAGAACGAATGTCTCTCTCACTGGAAGTTCTTTTAATTCGAAACTTCCCCACTGACTTTTTGTCGGCGAAGGCAAGAAAATGTGATTGCTGGTAGATCATTAATAATAATTAAATATTATTAAACAATTAATAATTTTTAAGTTTTTTGATATGTTATCGTCTTCTATAGACTCTAACGAGTTTGTATATCAAATACCGATTAATTTTATCAATATTTGTCTTAACTACGATGATTTATGTTTTAAAATTGAATGAAAAATAAAAATAAAATTTTTTTAGTTTTTTGCACTTACTATTTAAACTAATTGTCCTATAAAAAAAATTCAGAGGAAAAAAAGATGCGCCTCTTTATTTTCTATAATGTAGCACTTTTTAAAATTTAAAATTTCAAACTTTAATTTTATCGGCATTTGGAACTCTTGACTGACAATACAGCGTGCAGCGGAGCGTCACATCGAGTTCTTCTTCCCATCCGCTCAATATAAAGAGCAACTGTAAAATAGTAAAATTCAATTACCAATATTATCAAGAAATCAGAATAAACTGTTAAATAATTTTTATTAATTAATTATGTTTTAATTTAGTCATAATAGGTTATGTGAATTAATAAAAATTAACATTATTAATTGAATCAATAATAAATTAAGTCTTAACTTTACAATTTGGAATGTTTCATAAACTACACGGAGAAAAAAATGCTGTTGAATCAATGACATATGGGTTTGATTCATTGAATAGTGTCATAACGGGCTGCCTAACGTATATGCTGTTGTTTTGAAAGCACCGATTCTAATGATTCGATAGTATCACTTTCTTTGAAACAAAAGCATATTTCTCAAATTGACAGCATACTATGTTAATTCGAAGGTGAATCCTTTTGAATCAATAAACAAAATTTTTTAATTTAACAGTATATGCTTTTGAGTCAATGACTATAACTTTTAAATTTAAAAGCATCATTTTTATGATTCAAAAATTTGTACTCTTAATTTTTTTAGTTGTTGCTATCGATTGAATAACACCATACTGTTAATTCAATTCTTTTATGTGGTTAAATATATACCAACGATAAATTGAAAAAAGGGAATTTTTGTTCACATGTTTTTTATATACTATAATTAATTCTCACACCTTTAACACAACACTTTTTATACACATCTTTTTTTCAATTTTTCACACTAACATATACATCTTTATTATTATTTTCATTTTTTCCAACGGCTAAACACACACACACATACACATTCAAACACACTTATCTTTTTTAGTCAGAAAAATACGGCTATTCCCAAGCGGTCACCCATCCATTTAGTAACCGCGACCAACGACGCTTAACTTCCGTGATAGACGAGAACCGCCGCGCTGCAATGTAATACATCCGCTTCTCAACGTTGGGCACTTACTTTGTGGTTAAATACCGTGCTCGAGATTTTTCGCGTATATAAGGGAATTTATATAGTGAATTTATATTTAACTAGTCATTAATTAATTAAAAGAATTTAAATAATACTTTTTTATATTAGAATCTCAAAAATGACAGGTTTAATAAACATATAAATATATGCGGGTAAGTATTTCAATAAATTTAGTACCTGTCAATGTCTCAAAACATAGTGTTCTTATTTTTATAGCATATGCTATAGGCAGTCCGCAATAGCACCACTCATTGAAACGAAAGCATATGCTTTCGTTTTCAGAGCGCGCTTCTTTAGAGCAAACAATTTTTCATTTGATTTAAATTTACATGCATTTTCTTCAAATTTATCTATTAGATGCTTCAAATGAATAATGTCAAAGAAGCAATAAATTATTCTGTTGCTATATATAGATGAACTATAGAAACAATTTGCACAATATCATCAATTCTACAGTACCGTACTTTTAATTTAAACAGTTTCATTTTTTCGTTTTAAGCAATATACTTTTCGATTAATAAATGTGTCATTGAATCAATGACGGGGAATTCAATAGCATGGAGATATTTGATTCAACAGCACTTTTTTTTCAGTGTATAATACGAATACAGATTAATAATAATTATTATTATATCTGCATTTAAAATAAATTTAGTATTTAATATTAATTTAATTTAACATTATAATTTATAATAATAATGAATTATTAATGCAATATTGAAATTTTTATATATTTTAAATTTAAATTATTAATAATCATTATAGTAAGAAATTATTCTATTAATGATTATAATAATAATTTAAATATAACTGTATGTATTTCAATTATAATGCAAATACTTCTCATAATAAGTACTGACTGGTATAGTAAATTACTTAGTTAAGTTAAAAGAACAATTTTTATAATAGAATAATGTATTCTGAAATGTAAAAAATAAATTTGAAAGATTTTATATGTATATATAAATTTTCATGAGACTTTACCAAAATTAGAAAGATGTACCAAAATTTTTATAGGTTATGTGTTCACACATTTCAGAAATAGTCAAGAATTTCAGAAATGATCAGGAATTTCAGAAATGGTCACAGCTTCGAAAATGGTGGGAGTAAAGTGGGAGGAGCTTGTAAAGTATTTGGTTAGGAATGGTGAGAAACGTTCGAAAACGTCAGAAGTGGTGAGACTGTTCAGGAATGTTCAGAAATTCTGACCATTCATGACGATTCCTGATTTTATTTTTAGTAGGGTTGGATGAGTAAAATAATTTTAATATTGTTTACTTAATTTCATTTTTAAGTATTGTTTAATTTTTTTTAGTGTTCCTTACCAATAATTTTAAAACAAATTTTTTAATTTATCCAATTTGTTTTATTGAATATTAAACATTTTTTTAAGGGCACTAATGAAGAAAGTGGCGCAACGGAATCACCGGATGCAAATAGAGCACCATTTTTAATAATCTGTGGTGACTCCACAAAAAATGTCAAATGTTATGTTGACGCGGAACCACTTTTCGTGGAAACGCCATTAAATGCGATTTTATTAGTAATAGCCGCCTATTGGATTTTTGATATCAGCTTTGATAAACATTTTCAGAATCAATTGATTCTTTTAAGCATGGTCATGTTCGGTAATCAGGCTGAAAAAATTCTTGGTGCGCATAAAATCGAATCTATATCCGTAAATAACTTACTTATTAAAGCTAAATTAAGCAGTCGCTAAAAACTTGTCTGATTTGCAAAGTTAGTCAGGAGTAGTCAAATTTCATTTTGTTTTTATATTTTACTTCATTATTTTATATGCTATAAGCATAAAACTATTTTCTTAATTACCTTTAGACTTGTTAAAAATTTAACTGTTCTATTCAATATATCTGAAGGGAAAAAAGTCAGAATTATTTTTTAATTTATAATAAAACAGTATTATTTTCCTACATATTAAATAAGTGTTAAAAGGTAAAATTCATTCCACTTAAATTTATATTATTTTGTATTTTATTTTAGTTTTATGTATTATTGATTAAGAAAGTGTGTTGTACAATATATAAAAAGTTTATTCAATATGTATTAATACAGATGATATAAAATGTCACACATTATCTTTAATAAAAAGTTATTGAATAATAAAATAAAATTGCAAACAAATTTATTTCGAAACATACGACACAAACATAAAATATTTTTTATTTCAATTAAAAACAATTTTTTTTTCATTATTTTATTAAATCTGATAGCATAGTTTGATTGAGATTTGTTCATAAATAAGCGTTAAGCCGGAAGAAGAATAACAAATAGACTTGTATTCGTAATCGCATTTATAATTGTCTGTAGTTTATATATTGAATTTCTTTAATGTAATTCTTTTTTTAACAACATTCGAGATCATTGAAACTATATACAAGTTCACCGTATCCGACTAAACTGCGTTCCATTATCTGATGTTTTGTTTACTATTTGAAACTATTAAACAATTATTATGATAAAAAGAAAAAACAGAGAAGTATCTTATAATTAAGTAGAAGAAATAAATTTGTAGATAATTTTCATTCATTTAAAGTATTTGTTGCTCTGTTGTTGCATTAAAATAACAATAAATTGTGCTATGTTTAAAAAATGCTATGAAATACTTTCGATCCACAGTTGACAGTCGTAGATATTCCACATTTATATTTAAATATATGTTGATAAAGTTAGCAATAATAAATATTTATTCACAATGTTGTTTGTACATCAATAATTTAATAAAATAAAAGTCCTGACGTACAAAAATGTCTATTCAGTAAACAAATATTTTCAACAGTAATATAAGAAATAACAGACGAATTAATTTCATTTCGCTATTGAAATAAAAGGTTGTATTTAACATTTATTTATTTACTGTGTTTTGCCTACATACTCTGTAAAAAGCCGAATAATAAAAAAACATTTATTCACTTTAACACTTGTAGGTTAGGAGATTACTTTGTTTACAAATTAGTCATAAAGGTGCAGTCCACTGCGGTATCGTGAAACGGCAAAAGGTTGAGCCAATAAGAAATTTCTATTAAAATCATATTTCCATTGAATCGGAAGTTACTATTGGCTAAACGTTTTCCGTCTCTCGTTTTCAGGGTGCGGTCACATCTAAGCAGAAAAAGTAAAACCGAGTGTGTGTAAACATTTTATACCTGTCTTTTTCACTTTTGCATTATGCTTTTATTATCCAAAAGTTCGTAATTGTTTTTTTCAATTTTTGGAAAAATTGTTTTATTTGTTTGTAATAGTGTTGTTAATAATTATACGAATGATTAGAAAAATGAAAATTTTCAAGAGTTGTGATTGTAAGGAGATCCCAGTCTGTGCGATTTTCCCATTGAAGCTTAATGTAAGAATTCAATCGATTGTGGGACCCCCTTAAATCTGCTGTGACAAAAACATGAATAGAGGTTAGTATTTCACTTTATAAACAAACAAACTTTTTTTCTTATTCAATTGCTCACTTTTAATCAATTTTTGCTTTTTTCTTTCTTAAAATTCATAATAAAATCAGTTTAAGTACATAAAAAATCAGTGCCGTGAAGAAATTTATTAATAAACTTGTCAGTAACAACATGACAGCCATTGCAATTGTATTTTGATATCAATTTATGTATGAAAAAATGATTCCGATTTTCGGTTCATTTCTATAAAATAATTTCAATTTTTGTATCAATTTGATGCCTTAAATCAAATTAAAACGTTGCATACTAAAATGATACCATCCAATTTACTGTATACATACACGGAAAAAAAATCAGCCTAATAATGCATGGAGTCTATTGGTTCGATTTTTACATGAGCCCATTTTGCAAATATCACACAGGAGTTTACTAAAAATGCATGGCTTTTGTGACTTTTGCCACAGCACCATGCGAAAATAGGATGGATTCCAAGCTAATCACGCATGGTAGTGTGCGTGCAATATACACAACAGACGCTCATGTGTTTTTAGCCTAGTATTTTTTTCCGTGTACACTGTAAAAAATTGTTTAGAGAAAATTCACAAAAATTTCTTCTTTTCTGTGAATTTTACAACTAATGATGAATATTTACCAAGATTGAAAAAAATAATTGTAGTTTATAGAGATTCGTTTTATTTCACAAAATATGTTTGATTACAAAACTATTTAACAAAATATTTTTCACAAACCGTAACAAACAATTATGAAGAACAATAATAAAATAGTATCAATATTATATTAATCATATAACCCACACTAACAATAAAATTACTTATCCCTAGAAATTGAAATTCGTCGAAATTAACTGATGTACACAAGTAGATTAAAAATTCACTATATTGCTGTTCAATAAATAATTATAAAATATAATATTATAATATATTTATTTTGAATTAAATTTTAAACACTCATTTTTTATTTAAAACACTGTAAAAACAAGAAGAGTTTCACGCGCGGATGTATAGTTCCTATGGCAAATGCTGTAAAGCAACTGACGCTAAAAGGACCTTTTGTCAAAAACTTCTAAGAAATTGTAAAAATTTTCCAAACCAGATGTGACAAACATTTCAAAAAAAAAATTTTAAATAACAGTATTGAATTTTCAATAACAGTAATGAATTTTCAATAACAGTATTGAATTTTCAATAACAGTATCGAATTTTCAATAACAGTCATGAATTTTTAATAACTGTGTCTGTATTTTTCAATTACAAACCAATGGATTTTCATTTTTTCAATAACAGTAATGAATTTTCAATAACTGCGTTTGTATTTTCAATTACAAACCAATTAATATTCACTCGGTTGGAAGTGAAAAGAGATAAATAAGTAAGTATATGTGAGAATTGTTGCGATTATTATTGTTTATATACATAACTTAATTGTTACTAAAATTCCCTCTATAATTAAGAGAGAAGAATTGCAATTTTTCACTACACAGACAGCACCAGGCATTTTCACTCACAATTTATTTTTTACATGCTTCATTGAACTAACAATCACTTTTATAAACAAAATTAGAGGTTATGTCATGTCTTATTTTGTTTTTAAATATAATGATCTTCTCCTCCGCGAGAGGCTCTTCTATCGATGTAAGTGAGCCTAGAGGAATCACTGTTATGAAAAATGCGGCCACGTTTGACGCGGATTTATCACGGGCGTTCGGTCTCCTTATACTACTCCATGTATTCACTTCAAGTTCTTTAATTTTCAATTCAAGCTGAATTGAATTAAAATTCAATAACTTATGTAATTGAAAAGTTGTTGAATTTTCAATTCTTTTCTAACAGTGTACCTAACTTGCCATTTCACCAAATCACACAAATTTTTCACAGCAAAACTGTTTTCAGACGTTTCAGACTGAGTCCTACCGAACTTAACCTTCTTACTGTGTAAAATTATGATTATTGGTCAAATGGCAAGTTAGGTATTTGGCTACCACTGCGTGTATAAGAATTAAAAATTTCAAAATAAATAGATCCCATCGTTTGCCCACAATCAGACAAGGCTTAAAAATTGTTAATTTAGTGCTAGTTTCTTACAAAAAATTACCTTTATATTTTTGTTCGTAAATGGTCTGTAATTTTTCATTTTTGGCCCGTAAAGTTTGTATTTTTAAATATTGTGTCACTGGTTCGAGCCCTGACAATTTTTTTAAAAATGTTCATTTTATATTCATAATTTATAACGTTGGTGACGATTACAATGATTTAGAAAAAAAAAAAAAATATCGACAGATTAGCTTGGTCGGATGGATGCCTGGCTCGGTGGGCAGACCAAGGGTACTTGGTTCGCGCCCATTAGCCTGGGATTTTTCCGGCACGTGAGATATTCTAAACGGGAGGTTTGACGTCGAAGTATAAGGCTGCGGTTACACCTCTGCAGGCTGCCTGCCTGCGCAGGCAGGAGCAACGAGAGGGGCCGTCCATAAATTACGTAAGACATTTAGGGGGGAGTGTTCTAGGAATATCAGGCATGCGCAGTAGTGTTCTATGAATATCAAGCATGCGCGCAAAACACCCACACATGTATACTCAACATATACACTAATCACATGTACATGTATACTCACACATGTACATAAATTATATACACATGTATACTGACTCATGTGCAGATATAAACTGCTACATATACACAAATCACATATATAGATTTAATAAACGATTGATAATATAAATTGTTGAATTTTTTAAGGTTCGTTGATGCACGTAGTGTCTGTTGAAATTTTTTTAAATATACGTAAGTACCTCACTCGCTAGTGCTGCGCTGTCTGTGTTGTAAGGGAAATTATTTATTTACTTGTGTACTAACTTATTCCCAAGTGCGAAATTAAAAACGGCCCAAAACTGGCCCAGTGACGGCATAGTCAGTGCCTACTCTTGGCAGACAATAGTGGCCCGACTGTCGGGAGGTTAACCGCGGTAGGCCGTCGGCAGCCAATCATCGGCCGATTCTCGGTAAACATTAATGGCCCATTATTGGCTGCCATTACTCCCCAGTGTTGAAAAAATTAAAAAAAAATATATTTTTCATTTAATTAACTAATTAATTCATAATATTTATACAAGTTTATTTCCCTGAATTAATCGCAAACTTACAAATATTTGAAAAATTCTTACCGCTCGCGGGGATCGATACCTGAACCTGACGCACCACAGCCTAACACTCTGACCACTCTGCTACTCTGACGTGAAGTCGAGGAAGCAAAAGGGTTCTTATAAGCTACACTACACTGGCCGATACTGTGCCATTATTGGGCCGAGCTACGTCCCAATATTGGCAATTATAATTTACCATCATAGATACAAAATGATAGACATTAATATGGTATTCCTGAGCCAAGGTACGTCCCATTTCTGGCAATTATAATTTGCCACAAAATGTTTTCCATTAAAGTGCCACTAATGTGCCATTAATAGGCCGATCTTCGTCACATCACTGGCAATTGAATATTGCCATTAAAGATTGATCAACTTTGCCATTATTGAGCCAAGCTACGCCCCAATACTGGTTATCATAATTTGCCTTCAAAGATACAAAATTTTTGCCATTAAAGTGCCACTAATGTGCCTTTAATGGGCCGATCTTTGTCACATCATTGGCAATTGTCTTTTGCCATTAAAGATTGATCAACTTTGCCAATATTGTGCCATTATTGAGCCAAGCTACGCCCGAATTCTGGCAATTACAATTTGTCATCAAAGATACAAAATGTTTGCCATTAAAGTGCCACTAATGTGCCTTTAATGGGCCGATCTTTGTCACATCATTGGCAATTGTCTTTTGCCATTAAAGATTGATCAACTTTGCCAATATTGTGCCGTTATTGAGCCAAGCTACTCCCCAATACTGGTAATTATAATTTGCCATCAAAGATACAAAATTTTTGCCATTAAAGTGCCATTAATGGGCCGATGGTCGGCACATCACTGGCAATTGCTTTTTGCAATTAAAGATTGATCAACTTTGCCATGAATGTGCCACTATTGGGCCGAGAGCTGGCCCAGTCTTAAAAAATTTGAAAATCTGACCATCGGCGCCATCATTGGCCCATCAATGGGACGTTTTGAACACCAGTAATGGCCCAGTAACTACTGCCAATTCTCGGCAGACATTACTAGACCAATTATGGGCCGTTTTTGCAGTCTTGGCATTTCGCACTTGGGTTTATTTGTTTGACAGAAATCAACAATAATTTTTTAAATGGATAATCAGTGAAAAATGACTTATATTTCTGTAAGTGTAATTTTCAACTGACTTTTAGTAAAATTATTTGTTTGAAAGAAATTTACAATAATAAATAAATCACAATAAAATAACAATCAGTGAAGAATGACTGATATTTTAGTACTTTTCAACTGATTTTCAGTAAAATTCCACTGATTATGAATCCAAAGTCACTTTTTAAAAATACAAAATGGCGAATCCAGGATAGCGGACGAAAATAAAAGATTTATAAGAGAATACGTAAAAATAACA